TATAATGGTGTTGCTTTTGAGAGTGGGCTGGAAATTGGTTAAAAGTGTAGTTAGGTTGTTCTATGATTTGTAGGTACTAGTGCTTTTATCCATTGGCGTAGCCGCGTAGGTTGTTTTTTTTTAAAGGTAATCAATAATTTTATTAATCAATACATTGTACACAGGAAGTGTATTATCAATTTAAGTCAGAAAGTAACAACATAAAATTAGGCAGCTCTTCTATATACCTAAGAGTCGCATCATTAAACTAAATATACAATGTCAAATAAAACAATTCTCTAATCTGTTGTTGTCCGTGATTAGTCTTCAAAACAGCGACTGTTTCTTTCTTTCCACACACCAGACGATGCAACCCGGAATAAGGTCCTAAACAAGTTTGCTATCCTTATCTCGAAACATTCTCTTCCACGCCTTTAACATGTCCTCCATACGCCTCGATAACATCCAATCCATGTATTGCGATACCAAAATATCGTTTCACAGTAAACGAGCAACATCACAATGAAGGAACAAGTAGTCAATTGTTTCCCCATCCCTCTTACATATAGCATCACTCCGTAACAAAGAAGCCCCTTGTACGAAGGTTATCCGCCATTAACACCTGTTCTCTGACCACCGTCCATAGTAAGAATGCTACTCGTGGGGGCAGTTTACATATCCAAACCATCTTCCATAGGAATGCACTCTTTACAAGTCCCGATAAAGATTTAAAATAAGTACGAACGGAAAAAATACCACCACGTGTCAACCTCCACCTGCAACAATCACCCTCTCCTGCCCTTATCTCGTACAAAGATGTCAAAAACAACGCATAATCATCCATGCAAGTACAAATATATATATGTATGGATGTAGCCATATTTGCTGAAATTAAAAAAATGAAAAGAAAAGATACACTGGTTGCCCTAGGAACTCATTATAATTCTTCTTTGTTTATCCAAAGAAGGTAGTGTTTTCACTTCTCATGATACACTGGTTGCCCTAGGAACTCATTATAATTCTTCTTTGTTTATCCAAAGAAAGGTAGTGTTTTCACTTCTCATTCATCTTTCATCGTGTACTTTTTTCGTTATCACATTTATTTAATTATTATTATCATTTTGTTGCAAAAAGAGAGAAATATTAAATTCCACCTTTACTGGATTTTAAATCAGATAGGTGTAATCCAGAATGCTCAATATTATTTTGGTGAAATTAATTGAGTCTTTTTATTTGGCACATTGCTGGATTCCGAGGCAGGCTTGTGTTCAATAAAAATTGCTGGGTGATGGTAATATTTTGATTGTTTTCCTGTTATTTGAATTTTCTTTTTTGTATTGGCAGTCCTTAGAAATAGGAAGAGCTAGAATATGATATTCCTTTGCTGAATGACATTTCTTTTGTTTTCTTCATTGACTTCATGGATCTTTTGGCACAGAGAGAGTGAAAATTTACTTTAAATTTCTCGATA